GAGGCCAGTGGCCAGACTTAGGTTTTTAGATGCTCTACAACTGCATAATGGGAGGGAGCCAGGTGCTATAAGTATCAGAGACCTTGGGCACCTCAGCAAAAGTCTTCTTGGTAGCAATTAGCATGGAGAGGTGTCCAGTAGTGTCCAGCAGTCTGAGCTACAGTGGAGAGCCCACCAGGGACTAAGAACCCACTATAGACTGAGAACCAGGGATCTGATTTCCTGAACCCTTAAAAAGTGCTTCTCAAACTTTAATGTGCGTAAAGATCACCTGGGGATCTGTTAAAATGCAGTTTCTAATTCAGTATGTCCAGGGTGTGCCTGAGACTCTAGTTTTAATAAACTTCCAGGTGATGCTAATGCTGTGGGTACAGGACTACATGTCAAGAAGCAAAGCCCTAGAGTACACCGCTGCCTGAGGTTCTACCCATTCCTCCTCCCAAATTTAGAATCTCTGGCTCTACCTGGATTTGCCATCTGCGGCACAGTCTCTTCTTCTAACTGGACACCCTTGGTGGCTATGCACTGTTCAGACCACATCCATAGTACCTACCAGGTCCCCTTCTCCGATCTCCCTCTGCCTTCCTCATATCTCTGTCTCAGACCGGAAAGCGACAATAGGTTAAGGCAAATAGCAGCAGCAAATCTCAAGAGGCAGCTGAACAAGACAGCAGGTGAGCTGGGCCTGCCGCGTCCTGGGGTGCATACTCCAGGTGCTGACCTGGAGGTTGTGTGTAATGCCAATGATCTCACCTTGCCACTTTCATGATACACGAACAGGTTCCTGATATGGCCCTCTCTCTTATAGGTGATCTGCAGCCCATGAGGGTTCCCTATCTTCTCTGTCTGGAAGGTAGCATTCAAGTCCTTGATGTTAATGACAGCTTTGGGGCCTTTACTCTGAAAGAGAGGAAATAGATACTCAAAATACTGAGAGTCAGTAGGGCGGCTGTTCATTACCTTTACCAAGGCCTTAATGCAAACAGATAACAAATTAGTGACTTTTCATGGGTTTTAAATGTTCTTGCTCTAATCTTAAGATGCACAGATACTCTACTGCTCTCCTGTAATCATTCAGTCATCCCACCATTCCTATTTAATCAGATTGGCCTCTCTGAGCTGGAAGGGGACTTGGAAAAGCCTGAACTTAGGACTTTTCAAACGTTTTTAGCCATAGAACTTTTTCTGAAGCAAATCATCTGTGGAAGCCAAACAAATAAAATAAAACAGATAAATCAATCAGGGAAAAGCAGAGGTGGAGTCCTCAGAGCACTCCTTCCCACACTCTACTCTCTGTTCTCAGGGCTCTGAAACACAGTTCAAGCACTACCTGATGCTGAGAAAGGAAGAGAAAAAGAATGGTTTCCTTCATAATTGATAAGAGAGAAAAATGATACAGACATTGTAGACCTGTGGTAGCTATGAACTGCACATGGCTATTAAAATTAAAATTAAAGTCTACAACCATGCCCCCCTGAATATGCCTGATCTCATCTGATCTTGGAAGCTAAGCAGGGTTGGGCCTGGTTAGTACTTGGATGGGAGACCACCTAGGAAGACCAGGTGCTGTAGGCATTTAAAAAAAATAAAATTAAATTACTAAAATTAAAATTAAATGAAAATAAAACATTAGTTCCTTACTCAGCCCTATTTCAAGTGCTCTAGTAGCCACTTGTGGCTGGTGGCTCGGGTATTGGACAGGGCAGACATAAAACATTTTCATCCCTGAAGGAAGCTCTATGGAAGTCTTCTCTAGAGAGAAATTTGGTCATATTTATTAAAATGTTGAGTGTTTTGCTTTGACCCACAATTTCACATGTAAGAATCTATCCTAAGGAAGTAATTGCTTTACTGTGCAAACATGTATATCAAAAGATACTTATTGTCATGTTGCTTACAATCATAAAAAAAAATAAGAAATCATTTAAATGTTTATTAATGATAATGAGTTAAATAAATATGTCATGGTACATCTACACAATGAAATGCCAGAAAATTTTTTAAAGGATAATTTAGATCAATATTACCAATATAAATTTTAAAAAAACATGATATCTATGCGAAATGCCAAGTCCCAGAACAGGATTTATAGTAGAAACCTACTGAAACAAAAATTATACACACATACACACAAAATATATGTACATTATATACATGTATATGTACGTACATACAAACACACATATATACATATGTACTATACATATTTGAACATGCCTAAAAGGTATAGACAGATTTACACCAACACTATTAATGATTTTCTTGAGAGATTACTGGAAGGTTTTCCTTTTAAAGTATTTACTATGAGAAACACTAAAAATTCAAAAAATACACCTAATTTGTCAATATTGTTTCTAACTTTTTAAAAAGTTGCTAACTTTTTAAAAAGTTACTAATAAAGCCACATCCCTTTAAATACTACTGACCATGCCCTTTCTTCTTCTCCACTCCCCACGGGCAAACACTGTCACTAGTTTGACGTTTATTCTTCTAGTTCATTTTTTATACTTTTACACATATATTCCCGTATCTATGAACAATATATAGTATTATTTTATGTGGCTTTAATTTAATGGTAAAAGAAGCATTCTAATCTTGCTTTTGTCACCCAACATTATATTTTTTAGTTTTATCCACGTTGAGATATACTAATCTAGTTTGTTCTTGTAAATGACTACACTAAAAGTTATCTATTTTCCTGTTGACAGATATTGAGATTATTTCTGATTTTTCGCTGCAGTCAGCTTGTGTCCCTGGTACACATATGTGAGAATTTCTCTAGATCACAGTATATACTTAGAAAGGGAATTGCTAGATCACAAGTGTGTTTATCTTTGACTTACTGGAAACTGCCAAATGATTTTGCTGAATGGCTCTCCATAGTGGTTGTACCAATATTTACTTCCATCGATAAGATGGGAGAATTCCCCTTTCCCCATATGCTCACCAACACTCGACACTGCCAGTTTTTAATATATTTGCCAATATGATGGGTTTGAAATTTGATCTCCCTAGTTTATTTAATGAACTTTATTGAGCTATAATTTATAAACAATAAATGGTACTCATTTTAAGAGTAAAATTTGATTTTTGACAAGCATATATTCCCATGTAACCCCCATCACAATCAAGATAAAGAACATCACTTTCACCTCAGGGGAGTTTCCTCCTGCCCCTTTGTCTGTTAATCCTCATCTACCCCACCCCAACTCCAGGCAATTACCTGCTTTCTTCTTTTGGTGTAGAATCCTAGAATTTCATATAAGTGGAATTATATAATACATACTCTTGTTTATGACTTTTTTGCTCAGAATAATATTTTTTAGATTGATACGCATTGTTGCATTTTTTTAGTAGTTTGTCCTTTCTATTACTGAGCAACAGTCTAGTCTATAGATATATAACTATTTGTTTATTCATTCAGCTGTAGATGAACATTTGGGTTCTTTCCAGATTCTGGCTATTACAAATAAAGTACCTAAGAACATTGTGTACGAATCTTTTTGTGGACATATGTTTTTGTTCTTCTTCAGTAAATACCTATAAGTGGAATGGCTGGGTTATGTGGTTAAATATACATTTAACTTTATTAAAAATTGTCTAATTATTTTCCAAATAGGTTGTATCATTTCATATTCCAACGAGTGATGTATGAGAGTTCCAGTCTCTCCACGTCCTAACCAATACTTGGTGTTGTTAGCCTTTTTAACTTTAGCCATTCTGGTGGGTGTGTAGTATAACATATTGTGGTTTTATTGAGTTTTAGATGTTCAGCTTATTGTTATTTCAAGGAGAGAGATCTGAGGACGTCTCTCACTCCGCCATGTTTCTGACATCACTCCATATTGTGGTTTTAGTTTGAATTTCCCTGACATTGAGACATTGAGCATTAGGTACTTTATTTGTATCTCTTCTCATATATATCAGGTATTTTGGTTTCTTTTCCTGTGAACTGCCAATCCATTTCCCTTGCCTATTTTTCCAATCAATTACCTTTTTCTTTTTGACTTGCGGGCGTTTTTTTGTTTGTTCATTTTGTTTTTTAATGCTCTGGGATTAACATTTCATTATGTTGAGATATCTTGAGTTTCACTTTCTTTATACGTTTTTGTATTACCCAAAATTTTTAGTTAAAAATGAGTTACCTTTATAGTTGTAAAAATGTCCCTGTGGGGAAAGAAAAAAGAACAAAGGCAATTCATTCTATTTTTAGACTGTTTTAGACTGAACTGGCTTAGGACTGAGAAACAAACCAACTTTTTCCAACCAAGGATGAGATTCCCCCATAGGCTGACTCTCAGTGGCCGCTGGAGTTTGTTGGCCTCTCCTAACTCTGCAGCAGCGCTTTTTCTTCCTGCCTTTTCTTTTTGTACCTGTAACATTTTTCAGTGCTCTAAACTGAAGACTGAGAAGAAGTCCCTACTCTCGCTTGGAGAGTTAATACTCTTCATCCCCACCATTTTTCACTTGGTCCCAGACTGAGGCCACACTGGATAAGACCTTCTGGCATTGCTCTGATCTATCTAGGAAAGCAACAAGGGAGACAAATAATAATTTCTACATATAGAAAATGGAATAAGGTGAAGGCTAAAGTGCTCGGAGCTTGTCCATCTATCTCTCTCTGTTGGAAACTTTTCATCTTTCTGTCCTCTAAATCCTGGGATGTCCCACGGTTCAGTGTGGTAAATAAAATCCAAAGATGGCCCTCACCAATTCCTTCCCTCCCAGTGTGCCTATGCCACTCTACCCATCGAGAGGTGGAATCTATATCCCTTCCCCTTGAATCGGGTCCAGCTGCATGATTTGCTTTGACATACAGAAAGCAGTTCCTGGACTAGCCTTTAAGAGGCCTGCAGCACCCCATTTACTTGGGGGAAGCCAGGCATCATGCTGTAAAGAAGCTCAAGCTAGATTCCTGAATGAGGAACAACCACATGGAGAGACACAGGCCACATGGAATAGCCAAGGCACCAGACGGGGAGTGAAGGCTTCCGGGGTCTTGTAGCTTAGCCAAACCACCAGCTAAATGCAACAAGTGAATGACCCAGCTAATGCTGTATGAAGTACATTGGAGCAGCCATGGCCTGCCCAAATTCCTGACCCAAAGGATGTTTTAAGCCACTAAGTTTTATAGTGGTTTGTCACTCAGCAACAAATAACTAAAATACCAAATGTCTTTTCTCATCTACGCATTCTCCCTGCCTAGGTGATCCCAGACAGTCCCATTGCTAAACAAGTCTACGTGCTGGTGACTCTGGCTCTACACTCTCCCTAAACCTCCAGACTCACATATCCAACTTCCTAATGTCTCCACTTGGATGACTAACAAGCATCTCAAATGGAAAAGGATGCTCGATCATCCCCTTAGGGAGTTAAGTCTTTGCCATCTCATCCAACGGCAAGTCTATCCTTCTAATTGAACAGGGCAAAAATCTGGGAATCATCCTTCATTCTTCTTGCTTTCACACCTCACATGCAATCCTTCAGTAAAACTTCTTGGTTCTACTTCCAAAATATATGCAGAATCTGACCTCTTCTAACCACCTCCTTCTCCGCCACCCTCTAATCCATTATTCCTCCTTTGGATTATTGCAGTAGCATCCTAACTGGTTTTTCAGCTTCTACTCTTGCCCCTTTCCTGTCCCACCATCACCCCAGCAGCAGCCAGGGTGCTCCTTTTAAAAAGCGTAAATCAAATTATATCGCTTCTCTGCTCAAAACCGTCCTATAGTATCCTCGCTCAGAGTTAAATCCAAAAGTCTAAACTTTTTGTAAATCATATAACCAATAAGGGAGCTGTACCTAGAATATATAAAGAATTATTATGATTCAATAAAAAGACAAATAATCTAATTAAAATAGGGAAAAGGATCTGAAAAGACACTTCTATAAAGAAGATATACAAATGGCCAATAAGCACATGAAAAAATGCTCAACATCATTAGATCAAGGAAATGTAAATTGAAATCACAATGAGATATTACCTCACACCCACAAAGATGGCTATAATCAAAAAGACAGATAATAACAAGTGTTGATGACGATGTGGAGAAATTAGAACTTTCACACGTTGCTGGTGGGAATATAAAATGGTGCAGCCACTTTGGAAAACAGTGCAGCAATTCCTCAAAAGATTAAACATAGAGTTACCATGTAACCCAGCGATTCCACTCCTAGGTATAAACCCAAGAAAAATGGAAATATATGCCTACAGGAAAAGCTTGTACATGAATGTTGATAGCAGCATTATTCAAACTATACAAAAAGTAGAAACAGCTCAAATGTCCATCGACCAATGAATGAATGAAATGTGATATTTCCATACAGTGGAATATTGCTTGACAATAAAAAGAAATGAGGTACTAATATATGCTACAACATGAATGGACCTTAAAAACATAATGCTAAATGAAAGAAGTCTGTTACAAAAGACCATATATTGTATGATTCCATTTATATGAAATGTCCAGAATAGGCAAATCTATAGAGGCAGAAAGTAGATTAGTGGTTACCTAGAGCTAGCGGGGTAGAGTGTAGTAGAGGATTACAGCCAACGGGTGTGAGGTTTCTTTTATGAAAATGTTTTAAAATTGATTGTGATAGTTGCACAACTCTGCGAATACACTAAAAGCCATTAATTGTACACTTTAAATGGGTGGATTGTACGGTATGTGAATTTATATCTCAATAAAGTTGTTGCAAAAAAAAGTCCCAAGTCTTACCATGGCCTACAAGGTCCTTCACTCTGTGATCATCTCTCTTTATCCTTTCCTTTGCTCACTCGGCACCAGTCACTTTGACCTCTTTGATGCCCTTTAGTCCCACCAAACACACTCCCAGCTCAGGCCAGGGCTATGGCTTATGTTTGAGCAGTTTGTCCACTGAACAAAAAGCCCCTGGCTGAGGGTGCAAGTGAGAACTGCAGTTCAGGCAACTGTTTGTCTAGACTGGGGCCAAGGGGCTCCACCCCCTCAGACGATCACCTTTTCTAATTAGCACATGGATATATGTGCTGGCCAGGACCATGCTCAGGGCTTCTGTATATACTGTTTCCCCTACTTCTTCTTTTCCCCACACAGCTATGTAACTCACATATATTCAGTTCTCTGCTCAGATGTCATCAGAGAGGCTTTCCCTGACCACTCTGTGGTAACCCTCCCTGCCATGCTTCATCATTCTCTAACCCTTCACCCTCTTTTATCTTACTTCCTAGAACTTACTGATGGGCGATTTGGTTACCATCTGTCTCCTTCCATCAGAATGAAAGCTCCATGAAAACAGGAGCTTTGTTTAGTTCACGGCTATGTGTCCAGTTCCTACAGTAATGTCTAGTAAATAGTAGGTGCTCAATAACTACTTCTTAAATGGACGAATAAATGAAGTAAAATCAAGTGATCATCAAAGGCTTAATCGGGGCACGGTCTACGACCTTCTAGGTGAATGGAAGGTACATTTTTTAGTAAATTAGATTGATTGTATAACCAAGGAAAAATAGGATGTGGTACCTAACTCTCAGTGGCTCAGATCACCCACAAGACAATCTACTTGATTAAAACGTAGACCTCAGTGGGGTGGGAGCCCAGTGCTCAGGGAGGGGACCCCTCGCTGCTCTGGCCTCTTACCTCTTCTTTAGTATAGTACTTCAGGAGGCCTTCTCTCGCCAGGAGGACAAACCTCCTTCTCAGGAACTGCGCCTTGTCCCTTCCCCGCTTCCACAGGAACCCTTCTCGGTTACCTTAGCCACCAAGGATGAGAAAGAGTGAACACCCGTGGCCTTAAGACAAACAAGCAGCTCACAAACCTCATAGGGTCTTAGGGTAAAGCGAACCTTCTACCTGCTGCTAAAATGTCTGAAATCTAACTCAGCTACTTCAGCTGACACAGGGGTCCTGTCTGGAGCCAAATTTACAAAGTCTTATGATTTCAGTTGGGCTCCCCCAAATTTTCTTCTATGGCTCTTTCATAAGAAGACTCAGTAAACCCTTAAGTAGGCTAAATACTGAGAAAATGGACTGATGACTTCAATTGACATCAGCCTAATGACACTCTCCAGAGTGAAGGAATGAGTGACCTCTAGACACCTGCTGGTTGAAGAATACCATGTGCTCTTGATAACTAGGAGAGTTGAGCACTGGCTGCCTTTGGTTCCCACAGAGTGGTTTTGTGCACTTTGCTCTCTGGGTCAGTGTCACCTTGGACTCAAAGCAGCTGGGCAGAAACTGCCACAGGTCTGGGGCCACAGATGAGGTTATGTTAAGCACAAAGGTGGGAGGGGAAGCTGAAACCCAGCCCGTGCACCTTACCAAGACTTGTGCCATGCCAGGGGCTATGTTAGACAGGAGCAGGGCTGTGTTTCTGGTGGGTGAGTCTTCCTGCATTTTATATTTCCTGAGACAAATATGTTTCTCGGCCACTCAGACCATAAAACCACACCAGCTGATGAGTTGCTGTTTCAGAGGGAGAGGAACCCCTACCTGGGCCTCTGTGGCCAGCATGAGGGCAACAGATATTTTAGTAGGACCTTGTTCCTAATACTCAGGCACTTTGTCTTTTAAAACTCATTAGGACACAGACCTCAAAAGATAATGAAAATAACTTTACCTGGAGATGAGATAGTTTTCCCATCAGCCATAAATTCCTGTCTTTCATACTTAGCTCGAATCCACTGTTCCTTTAAGACCCTAAAAAGAGAGAATCTTTGGTCAGCTGTGTCTGAAGCATTTTCTTCCCACAGTAACTTTCCGAGACCCTGAAGCTGAGGGTAGGAGCGTCACAGCAGCTGCCTTATTGCCTGTTCAGGCTACCCAGAGTTTCTCAGCCTCGGCACTATTAACCTTTGGGGCTAGGTAATTCTTTGTTGTGGGGGCTGAACTATGCTTTATAGGATGTTTAGCAGCATCTCTGGACTCTATCCGCTAGATGCCAGTAACATTCCCTCCTCAAATGTGACAACCAAAAATGTCTTCAGACATTGCCAGTGTCTCCAAAAATGTCTTCAGACATTGCCAGAGAAAATATATTGTCCAGTGGGCTCTTTGAAAACCATTGGGCTAGTCCAATCCCAGCCTTTAGGTCAATGAGACCAGCTCCTCTGGACCATCTACTCTGCTGCTTCCCACTGTATACTCCTGTCTTAAGTCCACAAGCCCCTTCCTGTGGTCTGCCCATGAAAGCTGGGCACACTACACTGGACAGGGCAGTGGTCTTGGGATTTGACCACCTGGAACCTGGGCCCTCTCTACCATTTATCCATTGTGTAACCAAGAGCAAGTTACTTAACTGCTCTGAATTTGGTGAATATGTCAATATTATACCTACCTACCTCTTAGGGTAGGTTTAAATGTACATAAAAGGCCTAGTACCATGCTCAACACAGAGTAGGTATTTAATGTTAGCCCAATCAAAAATTGTCTTCCATAACCCCTGCATAAAAACCACGCAGCCAAGAACAGACTTAATTCAATTGGGTTCCCCCTCGCCATTTCCAGGTAAATGTTCTAAGATTTATACAACCTCACCCTACAACCACAGAGACTGACCTAGGGCTGGGCTGGGCACCTGACCCAAAATGACCAATCAGAGCTCTGCTCTTTTTGGACCCAAAGGAGCAAAACCAAGAGAGGGGTGGATTGGAAGCCCTTTCTGGTGTTGAGCTGGGAGCTAGAGCTGCGGACATGAAAGTGGTCCTGCCCTCAGCTACATGAAAGAGGCCGGCTGAGGGAATGAGAGCCCCGGGCGCATCCTTCCTGATAGTGGCTCCACCTCCGTCCTTCGTATAACCTAATATCCAGAATCCATAAAATCTCCTTGTTCCTAAGCTGGTATTAACCGGGTTTTCTGCCACTTACAATTAAGAGTCCTATCTCATGCATGGCACAGTCCTCACTGGGACATTGAAGAGAGTGGCCAAGCCCACCATGGAACCTTGAGCCATAGGATCAGAGCTGGAAGAGGGAATGGAAACTGAGGCCCCAGTCCTGGTCCTGGAGGTGGGGAATTTAGAGGAGTTTTAGAATTGGGAGGAAATGGCTATTAGTATTTCAGCTAAAAGAGGTTAAAGTGCAGGGCTGTTGTTAGAGTCATGACAAGTAGTGTCTGTGTAATGCTGGCAGAAAGCCCAGCACACAGTAAATGCTCATCAAGTGCCTTTTCCCTTCCCCTTGGAGCAAAAGGCTGAGTGGCAGCAGCGAGGCAAGGTGAGTCAGGCCTTCTCAAGCTGAACCTGGCACGCCCTTCAACTGGGTCAAGGCCCAGGCAGCATTCCAAAGCTGACACTGGGAAATGGGTTAAAACTAGCATTTTGGATGACCTTTGAGATGTTTCACATAAATTATCTCATTTAATCCCTACCATCAGGCTACGATGCATGCATTGCTATCTACATTTCAGAGATGAGGATGCCATGATTCGGAGAGGTTTGCCTGCTTTCTCACAGCTAAGTCGTGGTAGAGTCAGGAAATGAAATTGAGATCTTCTGAGTCAAAAGCTGTGCCTCCCCTGCCACCCTACACTGTATTTATTGCCAGTCCCAGGGTTGTCTAAGTACTGGGAAATTGCAGGACCACCAGGTACAATTGTATAATTTTGTGCATTTTCCAAATCATCCTGCAGAAGCTAGAGGACAATGGTGGCTGAAATGCAGCCTGCTTCCTGAGAGCCACGCCTCCATGAGGTTGTGCCTTCCCAGGGGAAGACAACCTTTCTTTCCACTTACACAAGATGCTGTCTAGCAGCCCTGGGGGCTGAGTCCCTAGGAGAGAGGCTTGGGCTCAGGCAGTCAATCCTGCAGAAATCTGACCCCTCACCTCCAGGGGAACTGAACCATCCTGCTGCTTCACAGGACCCCTAAACTTCCCCCCATCCCTATTATATTGGATTTTCCCAATGCCATGGTACAGTCCCCCAGACTCCCAGCTCTGCCTTTATAAGCCTCAGATTTCTCATCTTTAACATGGGGATAAAGGAAATATTTATCTCATAGGGTTGTTGAGAGAATTCAACCAACAAATGCACATAAGCATGTAGCACAGGGCCTAGTATACAGGGAAAGCTCGATAAATATTAGTAGCTACTATTATTTTTATGGTTATTTTTTAGGGATCTGGGGCCTAGGCAGCTGCTTTGGGACAACCCTAGGCATAACACTTCATAGGAAGTAGCTGGAACACATTTGTTCTACTAGAATACCAGTGTTTCTCTTCTCTCTCAAATTTGCCACCACCTGTAGGCTAGAGAACATTAGAGGCAAATGGGGCAGATCACAGAGAAAATGCCCCATTTCACACCTCTGGTAACTGAGTCCCAGAGAGAGGAAGTGACAATTCACGCAGTAAAGGTAGAGAGAAGCTTAAATCAGGTCTATGTGTTCTCCATGACAGTACTAAACACTTTCCTAGATCCCCCTGATGACCAGGTCCACAGAGGAGACCACCACAGATAAGGGCCAGGAGATGGGGTTGGGGTGGGGTGGGGGAGGTGGGACCAGGAAATCACATACTCACAGGCAGTCATTGGCCTGGGGGATATAGTAGAAAGCAGGGACTCTGGCTTCATACTTGGCCTTCACCCGAAGGTTCCCATTGTGGGTCATAAACTGCAAGAAAAAATGTGAAATGAAACCACAGTCTACCCAGAAGGCCATTGTTCTCACTGGCTCCTAGTCTGAGTCAGGAGACACTCCTACTGGAGTTTGACAAGTCCCACCAGGCTGTCACCACGCTGCTGGGAAGCCCTAGCCTGGAGCAATGAAGTGCTGTAACAATCATGCCTCATAGAGGCAGAGCACATTACAGTTCTCACATATTAGTTCATTTGCTCCCTTTAACCATTTTAATATTACCATCCCCGTTTTAGAGATGAGGAAACTGAGGCTCAGAGAGGTTAAGTGACTTAACCAAGGTGACATAGCTAGTAAATGGAGAGCTGAGATTTGAAACCAGGCCTGTCCAACTCCAAAGCTCATGTTCTTTCTCCCACCCCCTCCACAGGTGGCCAGGACCCCCAGCAACAGTCCCTGCAAAGCCTGCAGAAGATAGATGTAGCTGGAGGCTGGAAGTTGGTGCTGGCCCCATAGAGTACCAGGTCTAGATGATCACTGGGGCCCTTTGACACCTGAGGGACCCAGAGACACATGTGTTAAGAGTGGCCTTGGCCAACAGTCAGCACTCAGTAACAGCAGTAGCATGTCTGGGGTGAAGGCAGTGTGGGAGGAAATGTCAGGTTTTTAATAGGGTGAACCCTATTCTCCCCCTCCCTAGGGGTCACTGGGCTGTATCACAGAATTTTCATGGGCTTTGGATCCCAACAGAGCAGAGTTCACATCCCAGCTGTGCCATTTATTCACAGAGTGACCCTTGGGCAATTCTTATCCCTGAACTTCAGAGATCTCATCTGCAAAAATGAAGAAACAATAACTGGTGAGTTCTAAGGCACAAAGAAATAACCTCCAGGTTTATGTGCTCGTTCACTGGTTTCCTGTCCTTCTCCTCTACCAGAATGTAAGCTCCATGTGGACAGACTTTATCTTGCTCTCTCCTAATACCCAGCACATAGTAGGCTTATAGTAATTATGTGTCAAATGAATAAGTAGAGCATCTAGCCCTATGGTTTACCACAGTGCCTGGCACAGAGTGGGCACGCAGTGGTCATGGGCCTACTTCCCCAATAGTCCTAGAAATCCTCAGCCAATGAGCACAGTTTAGAACTGCCTGTTCTCTCAAGATTTTCTGGCCAAAATGGTATTATCTTGGCTGAAGGTGTCCTCCATAGGTCAGGAGAGCAAAGTGGTCCCTCTCCTGGCTAAGGGACGACTATAGATTCAGGATACTCAAATCAGGACACTTCTGTTCCAGTCCAGGACTTCAGCATTTCAGCTAATGAGAACAGCAACGGATGTTCTTACTTTGTACCTACATTGAGCCTGTGTTTAATCCTTACAGCAGCCCTCTGAAAGGGGATAGTGATATTGCCATAATATAGATGTGGAAACTGAGGGCCCACACCTTGTAACAAGGTCATGGCCTCACAGCTTGTAAATAAACAAGTGATGAAGCTGGGATTTGAACTCAGGGTCTCTGTCTAAGCCACAGCTCTAACAGGCTAGTTATTGCCCTTCTGGGCCTCAGCCTCCTTCCCTGTAAAATGAGAGCGCCATGCCCACCGCCTCCACCCCAGCTCTGCTGTCCCAAGGCTCTAATGTGCACCCCTTGCTACCTCCACGATACTGTCGTCCCAGAAATCAAGTCTCACGGATTTAACTTTGCTGATGTCTGGGAAGTTGCGGTGGATGCCGGAACAGTTCAGACAGATGAAGATGCCCAGCTTGTAAGAGGCCCAGTCGGGATCTGCGGGGCGAGAGGGCAGCAGAGGAGCTGGGTGGAAATCTGGGCGAGGAAACCAGGGCCGGGCTGAGGGTGCTGGCAGAGGCAGAGCTGAACAATTAGGATTCCTGAGGCAATGTCCAGCTCTGCCCATGCCAGAAACCCCTTCTCTCTTTCCATCTCCCCACGTTGGGTGAACTAAGATACCAACATGGATGGAACCTTCATGGTCATCCCACCGGCCATGGCGGAGTGGCCACCAGGAATATCTTGGAAAGAGTCCCAGGGATGGGGGCGAAAGGCTGAAGTGGGCGCTAAGTGGAAGTGACAGGACTCCAGAGAGGACCTGCACGCAAGTGCAGAAATCTGAGGTGGACCACCTCGGCGTCTGCAGGGTCGAAAGCTGCGGAGCAAAAACGCGTGAAGAACCGGGGAGCGCTTGGGGGCGAGGGAGGAGGCACTGCAAAGACAGGGGGCGCCGGTCTGGGACCCCTCGGTGCGCTGGATGTCTAGGTCCCACGGTATGGGAAATGGTTCGTTCGGGAGTAAAGACAGCAGGGACCGAGGCCTGGGTGGGCAAGGTGTCTGACAAGGGAGGTGAGCTGGATGGTCAGGGTACTCGGGTCCAGACTGAGGAGGAGGTTAAGGAGAGAGCGGTCGGAGGCCTGTGTCGGATATTCAGTGAATGGACTGGGGCTTGGCTCCGAAGGTGTCATAGGGTCACGGCCGGGTCCAACGAGGGCCCCGGGCGGGATCCGGTCTAAGAAGAGGGGAGGGGTCTGGAGGGCCGGGGTCCTGCTCCGGGTCCCAGGCTGCCCCCGCAGCCGCGCCCTTACCCGCGGCCCCGCAGTCGGCGCAGTGAGCGTTGCCGGTGCCCGCCGCCTGCAGCAGCTCCAGCAGCCGCTTCTTGTTGCGCTCGCAGTCGCCCATGGCAGGATCCGCGGGCTCAGCGGGGCCCAGCCCGGCTGCCACCCGGCCGGCGGTAGCCCATGATTCGTGCTCTCTCCTGGGCAGGTGGAGTGGCACAGACCCCGAGCACCGCCCGCCTGGCCCGCCCCGCCGCCAGCTCCGCCCCTTCACGACTTTCCGCCCCTCCCCGGGCGCGTCCCGTCGGTGCGCCAGCTCCGCAGACTACGCTCCGGCTCTGAGCTAAGGCGGGCACCGACAGGGATCGCCCCGAGCGCGGGGTTTGGAGTTGGCCCCAGTGGTCCCAGATCAAATCCTGGCCTGCCTCTTGCTGACTGCGTGACTATGGATAACCTGTTCAACTTCACTGGGCCTCGGTTTCCACCTCTGTAGAAGGAGAATAAAGGTTATATGCTTGCGCCTCAAAACTCCTTGGAAAGTCAAATAGACTCTAACTTCTATTACAGCTTTCTACTGATGTAGATTCTACATCTACTTAGCGACTTAGAGATATTCAAATACCACCTCCTCAGGAAGCCCTCCTTGATACCTAGCCTTTAGTAATCTCTCCCACAGCCCACACTAGATAGTCTGATATCAGTAGTTTTATTTCTGTTTCCCACAAAGCTCCTAGAAATAGTACCTGCACGTTTTTAGAAGTCCAATAAACAGTGGCATGATCGTATTCACCAGGAAGTGTAGCTTCACCAAGTGGACATACCTTGGCACTTTTATCTGTGAAGTCCCATCACTGTGAGGTGTGAGCAGGGCCTAGGTGGTCTTGAATATGGGCATTTTATTCATCCCTTTCCCCTACCCTATCCATATCTTTGACATCATCCCCAGAGACCCATAGGCTCCTGGAAGGACACACACTACACACATTTGCCATCCCCTCTGTAGGTAAACACCCATCTGTCATATGCATGCGGCTTAATGCACACAGATGTTAGGTTTCCATCAGCTGGATGGCAGCTGATGTTGTAGCTGACTAACCTGAATCCCCAATTCAACGCATATATGCAGGCAGCCCAGTAGAATAGAATGAATCCAGAAATCCAGGCTTTGAATCTTGGCTTCATCACTTACTAGCTATGTGGCCTTGGGCAAGTGCCTTCACTCCTCTGAGCCTTGGACTCCTCATCTGTAAAATGAGGATTTCAAGATCCACCTAATTGGGTCATTGAGATGTGCCAGTACATGGAGCACAAAGCCCTCAAAGCACAATGGCTCTTTTGCTTCCCCTGCGCCTCTGGTCGGCTCGTGGGATCCTCATTTGGAATGCTGTGTGTCATTTCCCATCTTTCCCAGGGTGAAGGAAGTCAAGCTCTAGGCCTAGGGTTGTGGTGGAGGGTAGGGTGGGTGGGGGACATTACCCAAAATAACCAGCCAGGAG